ACAACTATACATACATACATACATACATACATACATACATACATACATACATACATACCTGCTTTTGTAAATAATTGGGCACTCGTGACTGGAAAGCACGGCAGGGATCGCGATCTGCACAAACAGGCACTTTCAGCAACGACACCTGCCTCAACCACCCTGAGCCTTCATCAGCAGAGTAACTGCCTTGAAGGCTGTCGCGAACCCACGCCGGGGTCTAAGAGCAAAAGTGGCTGGGTGCTTTGCAGGTCAATAGCACAGGTAGCTGTCGGCCTGTTTGATATCAGGGTGTGTATCATGCGTTCTGAAATCGAAGGCAAAGGAGGCTGGGCATGGCTCCACCTGTGAACACCCAGCGCAGGCTGCTGTGGAACCTCTTAAAAATTTATCCCAAGCACCAAGCAAGAAGCGGTTCCCGTCTATACACCCTCACGCGGGTCTGTCAGCTCAAGCTGACGAATGAAAACTCGCGTGGGTCTGTCAGCGCTCGACGAACTTAATGGCACTCGTTTTGCTACTCCTCATGCGGCTGTGTGGAACTTGTGGATCCAGGTTGGCTGTGATCACAAGCTCTCGCTCGACCTTCGCAGGTCAAATAGAATGGTGAGGAGGGCTATGCTCCAAACACATGACACGTACCTAGCTGCTTGCGGATGGCTTCGGGCTTGACCTGCCCAAGGCCCCGACGAAGATCAGGCCAGGGTAAGCGTTTGTGGAGCGCTCCTCTTGAAGTCGTCGAACCTGCGTTGACCAGCAGACGAAGCAGTGGCAATGTGTGCTACATAAATGCAATGCAATCAACAGAGTGTCAGGGGCTTAGACCCTGAACTTCCGCTCCTGGCGGCATGAACCGATCTAATGCTGCGCCTTCGTCTCCAGGATAACCGTATTTGGATTGATGCGAAGGCGTCTCCTGATTGAAGAATGCGTAATGCAAAGGAGGAACTTCATATCGAGTCGAAACAATTACTATTACATGAAAGCAGCCGCGTGGACCCCGTGCTTCTGCTCATGCTGTGTTTTTATGCACTGAAAGCCCTCGAAATCAGTCAGCAAACCGTCAACTATGCTCCTAGTTGGTCGGACAGGAAGGGGAAAGTATGAGGGCCTGTCATGTACAGGCAAGCCGGGAAGAAAACCATGAACATTGCTCAACGCTTACGCCTGGCGAAACACGGGGTGCACCTCCACACGCCTTTACAATTGCAGCTATCACACGCCCTGTTCACTGGTCGGCCCACGCCTATTAAATGAATGACAACATCAGCAAGCTCCAACAAGCTGACATGTCCCTATGTAGCTCTGTCCAACAAAGAATCTAACAACCATTTTTGGCTTCTCCACGCTTTAACACTAATTATTAGCCTCTCTACGTCAGAAGCGCCTGACGAAGCCTGGTCTTAGGTCAGCAGGACCTTCAACACCGAGCACGCAGCCCGAAACACATATTCTGGGCGAGCATCTTCAAGATGCGCTTCGCAACAAGAAATTCGTTTTCCTTAGGGTAGCAGGACTTGTTCCGGACAGTCAGGCGCAAGGTTGAAGCAGATAGTTGGGCAGTAGTAGACAGTCAGCACAAGACATGACACCACATGGTCGGCATCCCAAGCCCAAGACTGTGGATATCTTGACACTGGTACAATGGAGCTACATTTTCCGTTAAGGAAAGCTGCCTCTGGCCGCCGTGTCGTGCATGGCAGAGAGAGGTGCTCATAGGCGCAGTCGCCGGAGCCAAGCTGCAAAGCGAGGTATCTTCAATGTCTTTATGCAGCTTTCCGAAGCGCTTGAACCAGAATACCCCACTCCCGTCGCACTGGCGCTGCAGCCTGCTTGTACTGACACAGCATTTCGCCACGCATGGGATCGTGGATGCAGAGGTTCACCACCCTGGGATGACTGCGTGTCTTAGGCTAGGGTGATCCGGGGAAGCTGGCCAGCACAAAATGCTTGCACTCTGCTAGCTGCAAACATGCTTCACGGCTCTTTGCATCTGCAACCCAAGATGCTCAGAGACAACCACAGGGACTCCATTCCTGAGGGGCCGGGTCCCTGTGAACAGACCAGCTTGCAATGCGACACTGCCATGCATCGACCGTGAGAAACAAGGACAGAAGGAAACGAAGCTGGATGCATGGAAACCAATGCGCATGTTTACCTCATGCTTACTAGAGCAGTGCCTTTTCAATTCGAGCAATGTCTCTCACAGTGGACACTGGCCCACCTAGCATGATCCTGCCGTCCCGGTGTCTTATCCGTGCCCACTTGAACCTCGCCCTTAACGAGCTCGTCGGACAACTGTTTGAGCCTAGGCAGAGCCAGCAACAAGGTTGAAAGACTTCAGGGTTTGTTGGCGACAAAGGGGGGGCAAAAAAAAGCCTCAGCATGAACAAGGAACAGGGCACCATTTTTTCACGACATGCAGCACAGCAGTTCCAATATCAAGCCGACATGCGTCTTCGCGCCCTGGCGACCATACTGGCTCACCTGAAAGACTAAGACCAAACTTAACACTTTGCAGCTCGACACAGCTGCTTGCGGTAGTCTGTGATTTTCTTGCAGGGTGTACAGTATCTCTGTCAGCCCTGGGCAGGACGGGCCATGAGGACATCTCGGCTCCCAACATCAACTTTCAGCTCTGTGAGATATGCTGTCAGCTCCTCCTCCTTCAAGCCAATCGGCGCCTTTTTGAGAAGAGGGTGCGCGGCGCGAACTCTGTGCGAACTGCAGCCCTCCGGCCTGGACCAAAGAAGAGCTTACTGAACTCTCCACATCCACCTTGACGTAAGCAGCCTCGGCTGCCAGAGGATCAGCTGTCGGTTTATCAGGACCTCTTTCATGGCGATGCGGCAGGTTGAATTCGCAACACCTACAAGTTCCTGGTGAACTCCGGCTGAATACAGCCTTGGCGCATGGTGCAGCTCCAAAGCTCCGTAAAACGCATAACACCCACTGATGATTAAGGTGCTGATGCTTTACAGCAGGTGGACTGTATCCAGACCTGTTAAACAACCCTGGACGAGCCTGCAAAGTGCTCGGCTGCGCTGCAACAACGTACCAGAGTGCTACAGAACTCATCGAGAAGGCCATGATGCCAGCAGCAGCCCTGCAAATTCCGCTCCCAATCGCACCTTTCCAAAGCAGTGTATACCAAGCAGCAACGGCTTCCGCCTCCGTCATCCATTGCAGCAGCCTCTCACTCCCGCCATTGTGTACGCTGTTGGATTTGTCAGTTTGGGGATGGGTTTTTCTTCAGTAGGGACTGCTCTTTTCTAATTTATTCTGGTGGCGTGGATTCTGGGGCTTCATTCAGCGTTCGGGATGCTTCGAAAACCAATCCTTTGCTGAATCAGTTCGTCGGCTGTATTGTGCAGCCACAGCTGCCACAGGTTAATACTACCTGCACATCCTGTAAAGAAAGACTCACACACAAATATGAACCTGGAGCCCACAGAGCGCCTGGTGCAGCCTCGCTCGGAGGCTCGCCAGCCCGTCGCATGAACCCCGAGGCCAAACTTCTTCTGCAGCTCGGGATCCTTTTTGCGACGCAAGCCCATGGCCCTTCCGAGCTATCCCCCTCAAGACGAGACAGAAACATCCAGCATTCCGGGATGTTTCTAAAGTCGGTTCGAACATGCCCCGCAAACGACACCATGCAAGATGCAAGCACGACCGGGCACAGTACTGGCTGCTATGTCTATGTGAGACAGCGTAGGCACCCAGCCTCGGATTCGACGGTGCCAGTAACAATTTCCTTTCCTCAGCTTGTGGCACAACCGACAAGGACAGATTCTGCAGCAGCAGAAATCGTGACGGCCCTCAGGTCCTTGGGCTTCCGTTCAGCCAGGCGAGCGATGCCAGCGTGCTGTGCTGAACACTTGCCCACACGATCTGTGTGCGTCGACACTGGAACGGCGAGACAACCGCAACCGTTGCAATGGATTGTGCATCATTGCGTGCTGCGGCTCTGCAGTGCAAAATAGTGCAAACACTTGGTTGCAGCTGTGTTTCGATACACCGTGTGTAGGCCAGGGTAGGATGGCGAGTCCAACTCTTCTTCCTTGGTTGAGCTGGCTGTTGTGTCAAAGCGTTGGCTTCGCAATGGGCTTCATGGTCCCCGCTTGTCGATAGAAGACCGGTCGCAGCTACCTTCGGACTGCGACCTCCGAGCAGGATAGGAACAAGGCAGCAGTTATAGTTACTGGCTCCATTCCCAAGGCCCTGATTTACTTCAATTCGGTTCACCAAACACCACCATTCCTCAACCTATGCAACTTTCACAAGCCAGGATCCTGGTTGATCACCAGGTGCAGGTTGAAGGAGACCTTGGACACGCGACGAGGCAGACAAGAAACGATTCTTCTGGCGCTTGCCATCTCGCGTGCATCATGCCACAGGGAAACCACCCGAAAGATTCTGGACGACAAGCTGTGAACTATGCCGGACGACAGGAAATTGATGGGAGTCAACTGGCTTCGACAACATCGTCAAAAAATCACTCTTCAAGCAGGTTATGCGCCGTCGTGAAAGGCGTAAGGGCATGGTGTAACGCCGCCCAAACGAACGTCCTTTGATCCATCTACAGCATACTTGTGTCTTGCTTGAGAGCGCTGTCTGTCTAACGACTGTGCCCACGGTGCGAGTGGTGTGGTCGTTGAACCTGTGCTCTCAGGACAGCTGCCCATGCCGCATCTAGCTCTTCTTCTTGCTGCTTCGAGTTCCTCTCATCTTGAAGACCCGCTTGCACCAATACGGTTGCTTTCCGGTTGCGCCGCTGTAGTCAAGAAACAGCATCGGGAACAGAAGACGTCTTCCCCGTTTTTTCCCGACCTACAGGTCAGACGCTGTGACCCCACCGGGCAGCGAGCCCCGCCCCTGAGATGTCACGTGCGACTTCTGCGGTCCAAGGCGCCAAGGCCGGATCCAAGTTCAGCGTTTCCTCAACTTGTGACGAAAGCTACATGTCTTGGGACTGGTAGTGCAGGGTGCTGCATGCGCCGCGGAAGAACCATGAAGCAGAAGCAGCAAAGCAAAAAAGGACGGGAGATCGCCTTGATTGCAGCGTCTAGTGTCTGGAGCTTCCCCCACGGCTACTGCTGCGGCTACGGCTGCTGCTACAGCCCCTGCTACCGCCACTACCACTACTACGACGACCATGCCGTCGTGGCCCGCCGCTGCTACCCGTTCTGCTGCTGCTGCTGCCGTCGCTGCTGCTACTGCTGCTGCAGCTGCAGCCTGGCCGGAACTTGGTCCAAGCAAGGTCCGGTTCTGCCTGTCCGGGCGTCCTTCTGTTGTCAGTTTGGAACCAGTCATCCAGCTTAAGACGTCACTGAAGCAACCGGCTGTTATCCAAGACCGGGACTAAAGCTGTCAAACGCCCCGATTTGAAATGGGTGACACATTAGTGCCCAAGACAGTACGGAAGAGAGTTTCCACAACGCCATCTCTGAACACGTCCGCTCTTATGCTCTCGGCAGTCACCACGTTTCTGATTTTCGCTGACTGCGAATGTGAAAGAGGCTGTATAACATAGGCCCTTTGAAATCGGCCTGAAACAGACAAGCCCCCGTCCAACGATCGCAGGTCCTCCAGAATTCGTTCAGCTGTTTGGCGGATGTTCTCCGTCGTCTCCTACAAAGGCTCCGCATTGACATTCGACGTCGGAGGACTTGCGCGAAGCTTCACATCTATGAGCTTCCATTCCTGTGTTATAGCCGATGTGCTGTGTATCGTCCATGACCGAAGTCCAAACTCTACACCAAAGGCTCCGTTCGACCCTCGCCTTCTTCGAACCTGGCAGACGTCGCGTCGGTCTTCGACGCCCATCCGAGAAGTGCTCCTCGACGATAAGCTCTGACCAAGGGAAGCATTCTCTCCAAAACACTTCTTTCACGATGATGCGAACATTGCTAGTGCGAACACAAATGCTGTGCAAGCCAAGTCCAACAGATGTCGCCTTGCCTCCAGACTCTAAAGTACCCTGCCCAAGCTTTCGGGTACTTTCTGACTGAGTAGTATGTACGCAACTCGGTACCCGCCCTCCACCCAGGACTTGGATAGCGACGTCTGCACTATCAGTCCTCCATGTCCACTAGGAGCCGGTCCTGTTCATCCTGTGGTTGGCTGTGGAGTCTGGGATGCGGTTCACGCTACCTAGCTTGCTGGTTACTTCAATGTCTTTGGTTGGCTGAGGTAGCGGCATAGAGTTTCAGCACGACCACATCCACGACTCGCACAAGCTTCCTTTCATGCAGCCGACGACCGGGCAACAGGCTTGACCCCACGTGTTCTGGAAGTTCTTGGCTGCATGAGGAATGATTCTCCCGAAAATCGACCCTCACGCTAGCGATACAGCTTTGCAGCATCTTCTTACTGTGTAAGAGTGTGGGTCTCACAACCGACCAGCCGATCCTTTGCTCAGCGCTCCCTGAAAGCAAGGCCAACATAGGCCCACTGTACGAATTCGGGTGGGTGGCTTGTAGTTTGCTGCATCCAGCCTGAGATCAAGGCAGGGTGGGCAGGCGATCTCGAAACAACGCTACCGGGTTCGGTTGTGCCAGGAAGGAAATTTTGGGAATTTGCTAGCATCAGGATATCTAACACGTCAGCCACCGAAAGAGTCCCGGACTAGTAACTGGTTTTGACCGCTGCGCTAGGAAGTACCATCACCTCAGAGCCTCACGGATTGTGTAAGTTAACGGCCATGTTTGGGAACACGAGCTCCACAAGCAATCAACACAACGACACAACGCAGCAGAAATAGGAAGCACGGCAGCTGGAGGCGCTACACATCCAAAACTCTGTCGGGGCACATAAGCCGCGAGGCCCCGCTGTGCACCTTCATGCCAGGCGGAAGAACTTCTTCTTTGATTGCTGCCTACCATTTGCCTGATGCACACGCAGAGCGGTAAGAGAGGAATTGTGGCCCTGACGGCCGCACAAGGGCCTCGGCTGCGAGGGCCTGCAGCGACTTCGCGCGGTCCACACCAAACTTGGCCTCAGCTTTGGGCGGCGGCGCAGCGACTCTCAAGTGGGACTGCGACATACTGCGACCGTAGACAAGATGCCGTCTCGATGTTGTGCTCCCTCAAGAACTTGTCAAGCAACCTCAGCATTTCTTAATTGCTTCCATGCTTGGATTACTGTAGGTCGCCGGAAACACTCAAGACTGGTTTGCTTCTGCCGTGCGAATAGCATGATCTCACTTCATCTCCAACTCTAGCAAAAGGGCCTGCGCACTCAACGCTCTCAAGGTCACAGCGGCCTACCACCACGCATCGCAACAAAAGCTTCAAATTCTCAGCCTCGTGAAGACCTCGTGCTGAACACTTTCTTGAATCAATTACTGCTGATTTTGCGCCGCGGTTAGGCGGTTAGACAATCACTGGGTGCCGCCTGAGGAGCTGAACGTCTGGCCTGGTTGCTGTGACCGACACGACAGAAAGCCCGGAGCTTTCATACTGGCTATGCAGGTGCTCGCAGTAAAGCTTGCCCAACTGTCAGGACACTTCAAGACTGAGTTAGAAAACTTGCAGCTATTCATCTGTGTGAAGTGCTCACGGTAGTCCACCGAGGACTTGCGTCATGGCTTGGCGAAGGATCTACCGGTGCAGACAGGCAACGGGGACAAAGAAAGACACTCTCCGCTTTGATCAGTCTCAGTTCGGCCGTCCAGAAAGCCTGCGCAAGGACAACGGCTGGCATTGGCAGATACCTCCGGACCAGAACAAACAGTGAACGCAGAAAGCTACCCGGAAAACCATCTGCAACTTCTGCAACATGCAAGCAGTCTTGCATTGTGCGATATGCCACAGGGACGCAGCACGACCTGCCTTACACTACGCTTCTGAAATGCAATCCCTGTACAATCATTGATGCAATCAAATCCAAAAATAACCTAAAGAAAGCAAACTACCAAAAGTCAGTGAAAATTTGCATTCGAAAAACATAAATCCGAAAGAAAGCCGATGACCGAATGTGGTCCGCAAACCCTAAATCCGAAAACTTCCGAAAGATAAAGCTGCGGCCAAATGTGATCAGCCGAAACAGAGACTCTGGCGGAAACGCGTAGGCTTTGGCCTTAGGCTACAGCCTACAGCTTTCCCGAGCCGGCCGAACCAGTCTCGGCCGGCCGCCCGCTCGGCCCTATCCCAGCCCATGCCCTGCCCTTCCTTTCCTCGCACGGCAAAATCTGAAAAAGCAAAAAGAAGTTTCACAAACACAAAAATGAAAACAAAACCAAAAACTATCATAAAGTGAAAAGAAGTAAACAAAAAGGTGGTTTGCGGTCGTCTGCCTCACGCAAAAG